AAAGAAAGAAAGAAAGATAGGGGAGAGGTGGAAGAAGACATTCATTTTTTTCCATTGCCATCTTCGATCCCATGTTCTCTGCTGTGCAGACAGATGGCTCTTGGCTCTACATCTCTGGCTCTGGCATTTTCCCTTAGATCAGTTCCCTAAACATTTTTCTTTATACTATTCAGCTAAGTGACGTACTTCCTACAGGATGCAAATCAAAAGAGCACAAAGGGTAGTCCCCCAACCGTCCATCAGAGAAGTACCAATTCCCTTTGGTCATCAACAGGAGGATGGAGCTAGAGGCCAGAATGCATTTTAAAAGGTTTTATTAACCAACCCCTTCTTAAAATTTTTAACATTTCCCTAAATCATTAAAAGTATTCAGTTAGGGGCTGGGGAGATGGCTCAGTAGAATAAGTGCTTCCCTGGCAAGCTCAAGGACCTGAGTTCAATCCCCAGTTCAGCAAAAAAAAAAAAAAAAAGTATTCAGTTATAATTTTTGAAGTATAACTTTTATATCAGACTTCACAGACATTAATATACAACTTAAAGGATTTTATTTTGCAGTACTGGGAATGGAGCTTTCTCATTGAGTCTCATCTCCTTTTATTTTTTTATTTTCAGACAGGGGCTTGCTAAGTCACTAAGTTGCCCTTACTGGGCTCAAGCTTGTACTCCTCCTTCTTCAACCTCTGAATGCTGGAATCACAGGTGTGTGCCACCAACAACAGCACTTTGAAGGATTTTCATGAACTGAGCACACCTATGTAGACAGCTTTTCAAGGCGTTGTTGTTGTTTTTCCTGGGTTTTTTGGGGATTTTTTTGTTTGTTTGTTTGTTTTGTTTTGTTTTGTTTTGTTTTTTTCAGAACTGGGGATTGAACTCAGGCCCTTGTGCTTGCCAGGGAAGTGCTTTTTCCACTGAGCCATCTCCCCGGCCCCTGTTTTTGTTTTTAAGACAGGGTCCTGCTATGCACTTCAGGCTCACCTCAAAGTTGCCATATAGCCCAGGCTGGCCTTGAACCTGAAGAGATCCTGTTGCCTCAGCCTCTTGAGTGCAGATATCACAGGCAAGCACCACCGCATTCAGGGAGGAATTCATTTTTAATAGCTTTGTGATAGTCAATCATAATTTGTTTCAGCCTCCCCCTAAATGTTGTATAATTTTTATAGTAAATAATGCTGCAACTTTTAAGTCTCCTCCCATGTACACCACCATCACCCTAATAATTGTCTCTCTGAGCTAGTCTAAGGATGATCATTTCAACCGCATGTTTGTAATGTTTTTAGATTTTTTTTAAAAAACCCTTTGATTATTCCCCACTCTATGAAACCCTGTTTATCCACTTTGTCTCCCCTGGGCTTTCAAGTTTGGCAAGAGATGGTACGGAACTCAGCTGGCTAAGAACACCACAGATCATGCTGTCTCTGTCCCTCATGGCCTTCACTGCTTGTGGAGCAAGGCACAAGGCTCTGTGTGCAAGGATCAGGGATCAGGGTCTAGATGTTAGTTACTCACTTTCTAGATGATCTGTAACTTCGGGCTTAGTATTACCTTTGTCAACTTTTAAGTTTAAAAACTTTGGGCTAGCCAGATAGCTCAGTGAACTAAAGTCCCTGCTTCAGCAGAGCACAGTGGCTGGGGTTCGATCCCTGGTGTGTTGTGCCAGCCCTGCCTCCTAAGACAACGATTGAGAATAAAAGATTAAAAGCTTCTTTGTTGTTTTACTTTTCTTAATGTATTTGGTACAGGGTCTTACTAACAGCTTGAACTCATAGTGGTACTCCTGTTTTCAGCCTCCCCAGTGCTGGGATTATAGGCATGTGCCACCACACCCAGACTCGGTGGCTGGCTCAGCACACCCAAGGGCGAGGGCAGCACAGCACCTGGTCCCTGCAGTTTCCTAAGCAGGCACTTAATCTACTGAGCTATCTTGTTGGCCACTATTTTACATTTTGAAAAAGATAATAAGGCTAGATTTGAAACATACAACAAGTTGGATGCTTGTGTAGCATTGTGTGTGTACACCTGCATGTGTGTGTGTGTGTGTGTGTGTGTGTGTGTGTGTGTGTGTGTGTTTGGGTTAGGGATTGAACCCTAGGCCTCATGCTTTGGACCATACCCTCCAACTCCTGTATAATGCTTTTTTTTGGTGGGACAGATATCACCCTATGTAATCACATAGTTTTTTCTGGTGTTTTGTTTTGTTTTGTTTTGTTTTGTTTTGTTTTGTTTTGTTTTGTTTGCAGAACTGGGAATTGAACTCAGGCCCTTGTGCTTGCCAGGCAGGCACTTATTCTACTGAGCCATCTTCCCAGCCCCTATAATTTTAAGTAGTATACAGACTTTTTTTTTTCATTTGGACAAGTAGGTGTTTCTTTTAGCAAATACTAGAATAAAATATAACTAGTAGACCAAACTCAATTTTATCAATTCCCATTGCTTATAAGGAGGGAAATCTTAAAAAAATAAATGGGCTTAAAGTTGATTTAAAGAAAGAAATTTATATCATAGCACAGCTGCCCACAGATATGACGGTACTGTGAATTGTTAGTTAAAAGACATTGCTTCAGTATTACTTGGCAGGCTGATACCTTTCTCTTTCAGGGGATTGGGTTTTTTCCCCATAATTTATGTATTAGTTTTTGTGGTGCCAGGGCTTTGAGCACACTAGGCAAGCACTCTATCACTGAGCTGTGTCCCCAAGGAAGGAACAAAGGGAGTTTTTTAGACTGTGCCAAAGAAAAGGAATGAGATCCACCTTCAGAGTTATGTTGAACAGCATTTGCATCCCGTATTTTGTCTTTTTACTTTATTTTACATGTGGCATCCATTTTGTACTTAACGATTGTAGGAGTCCCTTCCTGGTTCTCGTCTCAGTCCAAGAAGTTAATATTTGTAATCCAAAAGATATGTTATTGGAATCCCACCAAGTTAATTCCAATCTACCATTCCCAGTGCAACCCACAGTAAGTAAAGACACTAAAACGTATTTATAATTATCGAGGAGCCAAGAGACCCTAAGTCCAGCCATGAAGATGGCTTTCTGGAACAAAGATGCTGACCCAGGGCCTCACCTGGTTTTATTCAGTGGAGGAGTAGCTTGAGGAGGAATGACTGAGAATTGTGGGAAGTAGGTGAGTAATGTGAACTGAGCTAGGTGGGTGGCCTACATTTACCTCTGCCATATGCAGAGAGGATATGCAGAGAAAGTAATCTGCTTTATGCTATAAGATAGTATCTGATGTTTTGGGGGTCTGGTGTTTCAGCTTTGATGTAGTCTTTCAAGCCTCAGGAAGTCATAGCCTCTATCTCGAGGCTTGATCCCAGCTGGCAACACAAAGCTGGGAGCATTAGCTCTTCATCCTGTCTCTACCTGGCTCACATTAAGGAGCAGCAGATGTAGATTACCAGGGAAACATGCATGCCACCTTCAAAGACTATCACCAGCACCTTAGCTAGACAAGTATACATTGCTTAAGGCCAATTGAAAGGATAAACAGAAGTCCTAGCCAGCTCTGTACATATCAATACAAGGAAATAGGGTCAGGCTTAGTCAAAATGGAGACAGTCACTCTTCTTTCAAGGACAGCTGCTCAAGTGGTCCTCCACAAATGATTACTTAAGTAGTTATCAAGTCTTAGGTGGATTTTCATCTATCCTCTGGAAATGGTGTCAACCTTTTCTATCTTAGACCAAATTTTTGAATTTCTAACATTAGGTCAAAATGTTCCTAAACCCTACCCATGGGTGGGTAGACCAAAGTGGAACCAAGAGGTAAGAGACCAAAGTGATGATATCATTGCAGTTTGGGTCTGGTGTTTGCTGTGGCTTAGATATAGTCTGAGTGTCCCCTGTGTGCCCATAGGTTGAAGGCCTGGGTGGTGATATTGGGAGATTGGGAGGTAATCGAGCCCTGCAGAGTTAGAGCCTATGGAAGATTCTTATGTCAATTCATGTCCTTATGTGCCCTCCCAAGAGATTAAGGTAGTTTACAGGTAATCTCTTGGTAGCTCTCCACAGTAGTCATTGCAAAAGCTGGATTCTGGCCCCACCAACTGTCTGGCTTCCTGTTTGAGATGTGATCCATTATCCCCATAAGCACTCCTGCCTTGATGTGATGTCATCCACCATCAGGCCCTTACCAGGGGGCCAAAACAAGGGGGCTACCCAGTCTTGAACTTCAAACCTCAAAAGCTTAAGAGCTAAACTAAATCTCTTTTTCTTCATGAGTTACCCTGCCTCAGATATTTCAAAATAGTAATGAAACACTGACTAATACATATTGCTAAAGTTCACATTCCAGGATCAGGTTGGCCAACTGGACAATTTTTGGAGAATATATAGATACAAATATACCATTTGCCATGTGGCTTGCAATACTTTATTTTTTTTTTAATAGTGCTGGGGATGGAACCCAGGGCCTTGTTCATGCTGGGCAAGTGCTCAGGCTGTGTCCCTAGCCCCCTTGTACTTTTATATATTACTTTACATAAACTTTGCTCCCACATCTAGAAAAATAAACTTGAAGGGGAGAAACCTTGTGGTCTTGTTTTGTATCCTCAGTTGCAGCAGAGGGGCTTATTGAAGTTAGTTTTTTATGGTAAGTTATTAGGTATATCCATCCAATATACAAAACATTTTATTATGGAAAAGTTGAAACATGCACAACATCAGTGCATTATCTCTCACTTTCTAAATTGTTTCATGGGTGGATAAGATGAAAGACAAGGAAAGATGTCAGTTAACTTTGTGCTTTCTCTTCACTAATAAAAAAAGCAGAACACAGTATACTATGGGAAAGACACTGTTGTAGGAATTACACAGGGACCAGAGGGCAGAGAGGCTCCTGCCTTCCACAGCCAGCATTATGTAAGCAGCAATAAGCTGTGTGTGGGCCCAGCTAAAGGTTCTGTAGAGCAGCTTCAGAGGCCAGGATCTGAGAGATGAGTCGGCAAAGGCGTGGATCAGATAATCAGCTTCTACCATCACGGCCCAGCACAGGAAGCCAAACACTTGTCCTGGGTGGAGCCCATGCCACCAGGCCGAGAAGGCAAAGGTCTGCAGCAGCGGCCAGCGCCTGCACTGCTGGAACACCAGCCGGCGCAGCCACCGGGCTGTGCTCTGGTTCCACTTTCTTGTGAACAAAGCCAGCCTGTGGGCAGTTTCCAGGGTCCAGATGTCTGCGTCAGGTACGTATCCCTCTTCACCAGTGCTGCGGTCACACGCAGACCCAAAGCCGGCTGCATGGAGGAGCCAGTCATCCAGCATCCACTGGGAGTAGTAGGTGAGTTTGAAGAGCCCAGCCGTGGCACACAGGACATAAATGCACTCGAGCTGCTGGCAGTCAGTCAGTCCTGCTCCTGCACCCACCACACCTCGGAGGACCACCTTTAAACACTCCAGTCCAAGAATCTGCAGGCCTCTCCAGGTCAGAGCCCAGAATGAGCAGCCACACAAAGAACTGGATGCCTGAACGTGAGCCTGAAATCTCTGGAAGGAACACAGAGGGCCTCCCAGCAGAGCAGGGAAAAAGAGCAAGTAGCTGCAATAGGGCAGAGCCTTACGCAGATGCTCGGACACACAGCGCCTGCTCCCGATGCCTCCTGTGGCTGGTTCCACTTTTCCCTCACAAATGTCCAGAGAGAGGGATGTGACCCTCTGAGTCAAAAGCATGAGGGAAGAAAGAGTGACGCAGAACCTGAAAGAGATTGTTTTTGTTAATATGAAAGCATTTTGTATTTATTATCTTTCCCATATGTGATCTCACAACAAATCATGTCCCACAAAAACTCTTGGATTAATTCAAATTTATTTAATTCAAATTTTACCATCAATATTTTCCTACAATATTCCTCATCTTTCTTTTATTTGTATCACTGATTAATGATAAACATTTTGGTATTTACCTTTTTTTTTTTGTCTTCTAGGGAAGGGTCTACAGGGTGTTCAGGGTCTCATTACTAGATCAGGCTCATAGTGATCTGCCTGTTTACAGCCTCCCAAGAGCTGGAATTACAGGCACACGCCACCATGCTCAGTCTAAATTGCTGTTCAGCAGACCTCAGGGGCGGGGCCAGCACTGCAGGCCCAGGGATCAAACCTTTCAGACAGGATTAAAGGGTAAATGAAGCCAGTGTGGTGGTACACATCTGTAATCCAAGCGTCCTGAAAGCCTGAGATAGGAAGATTGCAAGTTAAAGCCCAGCATGGACTATTTAGTGATTTGGCAAGACCCTGTCTCAAAATAATAATAATAATAATAATAATAGGCTAGGGAGATAGCCCAATGGCAGGTCCTGAGTTCAATCCCTGGTACTAATAATAATAATAATAATAATGATAATAAAAATAATAACAGATTATATCTCAGTGTGAAGGTCTTGGTTTCAATCCCCACTACTAGGGGAAAAAAAAGGTAAATAAGGCCTGCCAAACAGCTCAGCAGATTAAAGCACCTGCAAGCAGGCACAGGGGTCAGGGGTTTGTTCCCCGGGCCTGCAGTGCCGGCCCCACCCCTGAGGCATGCTGAACAGCAATTGAGACAGGGCACGGTGGCATATGCCTGTAATCCCAGCTCTTGGGAGGCTGTAAACAGGTGGATCACTATGAGCCTGATCTAGTAATGAGACCCTGAACACCCTGTACACCCTTCCCTAGAATCCAAAAAAAAAAAGGTAAATGGCAAAATGTTTATCATTAATCAGTGATACAAATAAAAGAAAGATGAGGAATACTTTAAAAAAGGGTTATAAAGATTGTGATTAGAAGCATGAGAGAAATTTGCCACAGAAACAAAACAATAAATACTGAAATGACTACAGGAAATAGAGGATTTTTCTCTAGAAACCAGACTGTGACTGCGAGACTGCATGATTGAGACTTGTGCTAAGCTGAAGCAGCAGTTTGAGTCCCTCATCAATCATCTTATTCTTACTGCTTCACCATTGAAGCTCCCACTGACTGATGACTGGAGAACAGGTGAAAGCTACAAGGACACGTTCTCGAAACAAGAATGCTGCTCGGGGGAGAGAAAGCCACAGCTGTTCATCTGCGCCAGACAGATAAACAGATTTCAGGAACCTGACTCCCTCACTTGATTTATCCTAACTGAAATCAAGGCAGCCTCCAAGTGCCAACAACCCCTGCTAATTCTACCCTATCTTCCCCCAAATTCATATGCTGAAGTCCTAATTCCTAGTATCTCAGAGTGTGGCTTGATTTGGAGAGAGAACTTTTAAAATGAGGTCAAAGAGTTGACCTTAATTCAGTACAATTCATGTCCTTCTAAGAAGAGATTAGGACACAGTTATACATAGAAGGAAGACCTGGAGAAGCCACCATTTACCAGCCAAAGAGAGAAACATCAGGAGAAATCAATCCTGCCAGCACCTTTACCTTAGACTTCTAGCCTGGGGAACTGTGAAGAAATTAAATTGTCATTTAAGCTGCCCAGCCCACAGAGCTTTGTTGGGGTAACTCCAGTAGACTGACATACATTCTCACTTCAGGTCTGGAACAGCCTTCTGCCCCATCCAGCCAGATCCTGCTCAACTTGCCCTACCTGCCTTTATCAGGCCCAGGCTGTACCACATACCATTAAGTATTTCCTGTGACCTGCCAACCTGCTGCCTACCTTTCTACCTTTCCCTCAGAGAAGCCTGAAGACTTGGGTAACAACAACAGAATTCTGGGTGTGGTAGGGATGGAAAGGAAAAGAAAAGAGACCCATGGTAGGTTAGAATGCTGTGAACCCCCTAAAGTGGCAACGGGCTCTCTTCTGAGTGACACAGACCATGCACCTAATAATCAGAGAGAGCCAGGAACATGAGAACCCAGGAGCAGAACGATATTTATTTTCCTAATAATGACTGACTCACTAACACAAGAAAACACTTCTCTAGACTATCATTAGCTCTTATTTGTTATTTCTTTCTGAATGGGTGACTGTCCCCCTTAGGCAATGAAATGACTGAATGAAGATAAGAGTTATATGGTAGCTGCCACCATGGGATGGCAGCACAGCTCTGGATTTATATTTGTTAGCTAGATGTTTAAACTGCCCATGCTGAGGGGAGCACATGGTGCTGTCCTTTCTAGGCACTTTTTTTTGTGGGCTTTGGACTCTTAGTACCTAGACCCTCTTTTCTTTCTTCTTTCTTAATTTTTTTGTTTTTTGAGATGGAGTCTCACCATACTGCCCAGGATGGTCTTGGCCCTGGACCTAAGTGATCCTCCTGCAAGAGCCTCCTGAATAGCAGGGACTATGTGCATGCACTTCCATGCCTGGCTATAAGACAAGTGTTGTTATACCATATTTTTTTCCCAAAAAACAGATTAAGTCTGAAAAATACTGAATAACTTGCTCAAGACCACACTCTTCAAATGTGGAAAAATTAGAATTCAAACTCAGCGCTCAAAATCTTCCCCACTGTACCAGCAAACTCCAGGCACCTCAGAACAACCAAAGGAGCAGGGTGCTTTACCTCGGGGAAGGAGGCTCTTGCAAATAGTACTCGGTGTAGTGCAGACCCAGGTGACAAAGGGTCTGCCAGCTCATCTGAAAGAAGAAAGTCCACCTGTGGACATCCTGTGGGCCAAGGGAGGAGACCAGAACCACAGCACAGGCTGCAGGGATGAAGACAAGCACAGCGTAGACACCCATGGCTGCCAAGGCCAGCACGCCACCTCCAGCCAGGAGAAAAAGGTACCTGGAAGAAAACAGACCTGGTGACTCTTAGAATGGTATGGCACACCAACCACCTCAGAATTCAGTCCAGGAAAACCTACTGAGGCAGGGTCCATGTAATGTGCAGAGGAGCCATTCTGTTAAGGTACTGTTAGGGTTTGTGTCTCGTTGTCCCCACAAAGCCTCATGTAAGTTATGGGGCAGACGTGGCTGGAGGAGCAACAAGTGGCTTGAGGGCAAGGCCAGAGGACCAGGGCAGGGCCCGAGGGATGGGGCCAGAGAGGTGCAAACCATTAAACTGGCTAGCCTGTGCTTTCTCAGAGGTGTGAGAGGGTCATCCTGGACACAGTAGCTCCCCAGCCTCTCCTCCAGTGTCTTGAAACCTCTAGTAACTGCAGCTAAATAAATCTTTCCTTCACTCATTTTGAGTGTTGGGTATTTGTCCCAGCAAGGAGAGAAGAGTAACAAAGACAGATACCAAAGGCTTTCTTTTGCTCTTCTGAAGAAAAGAAACCATAAGAAAGATCATTCTGTAAACAATCACCTCAGGCAACAAACCCTGCCTTGGTAGGAAACTGGGTTACCAGCCTTCAAGTGGCTCCCACCAATGGGGTACACCACTGTACTTAGCAGTACTGGAGGGTTCATTAGCAGGAATGTCGTTAAAATATCCTGTGTTTTGTCTGACTGAGAAGGTGTGTGAATCTATCATGAAGGACCTAGAGGAGCTCTCTAGCTTCCTTTTCTCAATGTGGGTCCTCTCCACAGGGTTTATCCTGTCTTGAAGGGCCTCAGAGAGTCCCAGACAGAGAGATTTAATGCCACCCTTGAATAAATCTTTGAAAACTCAACAATAAAACTATGTCTACTCTTCACCCTCACTGCTGCATGTTAGAGCTTATGAGTTCATGCACTATATATGTGTATACTTTTGTATGTTTGTGTTTTGGGTTTTTTTTCTAGGTGTGGGGATAGAACCCAGAGCTTTTGATGTGACAGGCAAACATTCTGCAACTGAGTCATACCCTTGCCTGTGAGTTTGTTTTTTATTTTTAGTTTTATTAATCCTCTTGTGAAAAATCTACATAGTCATTGCAGATCTAATGACTGAAGAATCTTGATTCCTTTGTTACCACTAAACTTGGTCTTCTCAGTCCTCCTGACTTCATCCTGTTCTCATTCCTTCTGCTATTTTCTTGAGGTCTTTCTTCTCATAGCTACCATGTCTTGCAAGTCAAGACTTAGTTCATTTTTGTGTAGCCCAAAGAATCCTAAATCACACCAATTATCTTATCACCAACAAACAGTGTCTAACTGCAAATACAAACTAACACCTAGTGTGGTTTTCTATATTTTGACTAGTTTTCTCCAAATTTCTCTCTTAATATGAGAGCACTCCTTAAGTAAAGAATAAAAGATATCAATCACTATTCATTTCTACTGTAGTTGTCAGTTGGTCGTGAACTTTCTGGCCAAAATAGTGACTGTGTTATCTATAATAATGGCTGATCCTCAAGCAGCCAGAGAAGAAAGGCACTGTTGTTTTAAATTATGTAAACATAAAAAAAATGGTTTGTGGGACATACCTTCCTCAGAAACCAAATACATGAGGAACTAAAAAGGCTGGCAGGGTGGGGAGTATGTCATATCGATTCTTTCTATAGTACACAAAGGGTGTATTTAAATATATGCATTCCAAATTAGTAAAACTGAATAAAGGGGACAGCAAAAGTATAAGACAGGGACTGGTCAGAGACAAAAAGATGAGTCAAAAAGCCTCTTTTTTTTCTATCAACTCAGAACCACAAAACTCTGCACTCAATGTACATTATGGCTGTGTGGCCTGGTGCTGGGTACATACTGGCAGGAATTCCTTTCTTGGGGAGACTGGAAGAGACCCCAGGTGTATAAAAACACTGGACTGTTCCTAGTCTTTTCTTTATCCCAAGCTTGAGATGACTTCTCCCCACAGCTTTACTTACTAAGGGAAAATAAAGGGAACAGTTACTGCTCATACAGCAGAAGTAGAAGCCAGACACATCCCTCCCACCCAGAAGCAACTCTCATGAGCAATTTATAAACACTGAGGTATCTACACATGGATACAATGTAGGATATATAATTTATTGGGGATTTTCAACTTTATTTCATTTCATTTTACACATAATAATCCCTTATAAAAATATTTAACCTTTAAAGTAACCCAACAAGACAAGTATTATTTCCATTTTATAGGTAAGGAAAGGGCACCTCAGAGAGGGTTTAGTCACATACACAAGGACATTCAGTGAATGAGGGAGTTAGAATTCCTAAGTGAGCTGTCTTAATCCTATGGTAAATCCATAGGATTTAACTCCTATTTTTTACTTTATTGCTTTGTGATTCTTTTTCAACAGGAAACTTCTTTATAGCCGTCCCCCATCCCCACCTCCCAAAGTAAAAGTAAGGGCCACCAACCAGAGGTCAACCTGCAAACCATATAAGCTCAGCAGTCATGATTGTTAGATACAGCCAGATTTTAAGAAGCTCTGATATATTAAAATCATAGTTCCCCAAATTAGCAAATTATTATGAAGTGACATGTGGACATATGGATTTTCACTAAAACTTTTAAAATAGAAACTGTTTCTAATGTAAGGAGTTTGTTTGACATAAAAAACCCCTAATATTCAAGTGAACAAATCTATAGTGCCAACCCAAATCAAACCCCAAATTGAGATATAGCAAATTTATCAGAATTTGTTTTGACTTATTTTTCCAAACAAATCATACAAAAAGCTGGCTGTGGTGATTCATGCCTGTAAGCCCAGCACTATGGCAGGCTGAGTTAGAAGAACCCCAAGTATGAGCCCACCCTGGGCAATTTAGCAAGCTAGCAGGACTTGTCTCAAAATAGGAAAAAAAAGAAAGTTCTGGGAATGCTGCTCAGAACTAAAGACTCCAAGTTCCAGAGCCCAGTACTACAAAGAAGAGCATGGCTGGAGATATAGTTCAGTGCAAAGGCCCTGATTCAATCCCTTAGCACTGCCAAAAAAAAATTGAAAGAGGAAAGAAAGAAAAAAAGAGACACTACAGAGACAGAGACAGAGAAGGAGAAAGGGAGGGAAAGAAGGGAGAAGAAAAATCATACAAAAGCATTTTAAATTAAAAATTATATTTTATTATAAATGCTGCATATACTTGTTGCTCTACATAAAATTTAATTATATTGAAAATGATCGGGCTGGTGAGATGGCTCAGTGGTCTAAAGCACCAACTTAGAACAAGCTTAGCAAAGCACAGGGACCACGGTTCAATCCCCCAGCACCACATGCCAGCCAGCCCCACCCCCTGGTGGGCTGAGCTGGCCACACACACACACACACACACACACACACAAAATTAATTGATTAATTAATTAATTAATTTTTTTAAAAAAGAAAATGATCAAAATCCATAAAATCAAGTCTGCTCAAGAATATCTGGGGCAGAGGAGATGGCTCAGTAGAAAAAGCACTTGCCTGGCAAGCGCAAGGGCCTGAGTTCAATCCCTGGTTCCCACAAAAAAAAGAATATCTGGTATGCTGGGCATAGTGACACATGCCTATAATCCCAATACTCAGGAGGCTAAGGCAGGAGGATCATTGCAAGTTCCAGGCCAGCATGGGCTACAAAGTGAGTTCAAGGCCAGCCTGTACTACATAGTGAGACCCTGTCTTAAAGAGACAAAAAAAAAAAAAAAAACCTGGGATCTATATTTGGCACAGAGGTATACATTTAGGGAACTTCCTATGCCATCTCAACAACTATCTCTCCCCAGAATTCATTTTTATCCATTTCTCATTCAATGTGAGCTCATCACACTTTGAATCAATGCAGACATGATGTCCATTTCCAGTCAGTGTTACTCTATTATCCATGTTCATTGACAAGCAACCAATAACCAGTGGCAGGAATGATGAGCCACAAACACATATACCTGGTGTATGATCACACATGCAGTCCTCTCTGTGTTTTCTGTATTCTGTGACATAAGAGCAAAATGAACCATCCAACCTACCTGGCCCAAGTAGAAAATGAATCCCAGATGCAGAGATAATTAAACAGAAGTGCAAAAGGAAAAGCTGCCCCTTGATAAAATGATACAGGATGGAGGAAAAACAGCTCGATCCAATCCATTATGCAGTGGTACAAGGACACTAACATTCTGGTACCTTCTGGCAAGAAAACTTGCAGCCAGCTTCTACTGGTCTTTTTATATGAGATCTGGGTGAGCAAGTCCAAACAAAAGCACTGGGGATAAGCAGGATAAAAGCTGGCTTTCATATAAAGGGAGCTGCACTATGGAAACCGAAGTACACGTTAGTGTTCTATCACTTCATCATATGTACTAAGAGCAGTGCTTTCCAAAGTCAAGGCTCCTAGTTTCCATAGCACATTGTTTGCCTTTCTGGTCATCACACTGTCATATTTTCTTCACTAAGTTAATGAAAAATTTCATTTTCCAGCTGTGGACAGACAACTTACTGGGTTGAGGAAGGACTTAAAAGACATGAATAGTAGTCCTACTATTAATTAAGACTCAGGACATATGAGAACTTTTACTGTAACGTCATGTAACTCAGTAGTGTCCCAAATACCTGTTCCTTATTATGCCTAAGATGTTTGATATGCAGACAGATAGTGAGGTTAAGCTTAACAGCCTAAGTTGTATGGTAATAACAATAAGCTTGTCTTCTGGA